GGGGGGCGTCCCTCAGCCCGGCCTGTGCCCTTTAGCAGTCTGGGAGCCCTCGGGGGATGTCCAACTGACAGCTTAGGCCCGCAGTCGGACATTCTTAGAGCCGCTGCGCTCCCCAGCTTCTAGCTGAGTGGCACTCGCCTGTGGGAGCGCACTGACCACCAGGGGGCAGCTCCTGCATTGAGCATCTGCCCCCTGGTGGTCAGTGCACATCATAGCGGCCGGTCGTTCCACCATATAGTCGATTTGCATATTACCCTTTTATTATGAAAAGACAGAGAAAACAGGATTCGAGGGGCTGAATCTCAGGGAGATACCCTTGGTGGCGAGGGAGTCCCCTGGATTGGGGGTGGAGGAGCGGGCCTCACAGCAATGGCAGGACTCAGCACCAGGCCTGGAGCTGCAGCAGCAAAGACACCCGCATCCACAGGTCACAGAAGCAGCAGGAGGGGACGCCGTCCACCTGGCTTTCATGCGGAGCGGGCACGGGGCAGGGTGAAGGTGGCCAGGTGGACGGCGTCCCCTCCTGCGAGGTAGGTCCACAGAGACCCAGAGGGCCACAGAGACCATGGCCAGGTCAGCTGTTGCTGTGTGCACAGGTGACCTCCCCCTCCCCCCTGGGCACTGCTGTGCCCAAGGACTTCATCCACTCCGAGAAACGCCAATATGGACCGAGGTTGAATTTAATGATTATTGGTTTTCTGTGTTCAGTGTGTTTTAAAGTGTGGAGATACCAGTCTTTTTTACTGGTGTAATTCTCCTTTTTGGATATTAAAGAAAAACCTCTTAACAACAATCATTTATACTCATTTAAAATTTCCACCAAACAGGTGCCCTGGTTTAGAAAGCAATTAGATCACATCTCTTTCCTGTTTTAAGTGCTTTTCAAGTGTCTTATTTCTTTGAATCCCCATTTTGTGCATATGTCTGAGGGTGGGCACCTCTCCTTTCGTGTATTAATAATATTGCAGCTCCCCAGAGCCATTCTGGGCCTCAGTCTACTTGCTTGAGTCTTTGATGGCATCGTCATGGTGTGGGGCCAACAATGAAGGAAGCAGGAGGAGGATTGGGGAGGAGGGGGAGGGGGAGTGGAGAGGGAGGTCCTGTATTAGCTATCTATTACTGCGTAACGAATAACCCCAAACCCAGTAGCGTAGAATGACAGTAATACTTTGTTATTTCTTATTGTTTCTGGGGGTCAGGAGTGTGGGAGGGCCTTAGATGGATGATTCCGTTTGGGATGCCCAGTGAGGTTGCCGTTAGGTGCCGGCCAGCCAGGGCTGCTGTCATCTGAAGGCTTGACCGGGGCCGGGGGGTCCCTTCTCACGGCTGGCATTGGTGCTGGCTCTCGCTCTCGGTCACATCCTCTTGGTGTGAGCCTGCGTGGGGCTGTTTGAGTGTCTTCACCGCATGGCGCTGGGTTCCGCCAGAGAGAGAAACCCAAGAGGCCAAGGTAGAAACTGCCTTTTGCAACCGAGTCTCACCTAGTCACACACTGTGACTCCGTCTTACGCTATTGATCACACAGAGCAATGATTCTCCGTGGGAGGGGACTACACAAGGGTGTGAAGACCAGGAAGCAAGGATCCTTGAGGGCCATCTGGGGGCTGCCATAACAAAGTACCACCGATGGGAGGGCTTAACCCACAGATATTTATTTTCTCACCGTCTGGAGGCTGGAAGTCCAAGATCAGGGTGTCAGCGGGGTTGGTTTCCTCTGAGGCTAAGAGGGAGGGTGTGCCCCAGGCCTCTCTCCTTGGCTTATCGATGCCAAGTTGTCCCTGTTTTACGTCTTCCCCCGTACACGCCTGTGTCCTGATCTCTTCTTCTTAGAAGAACACCAGTCATAATGGATTAGGGCCACCTAATGAGTTCATTTTAATTTAAATTTGAAGTTTTTAAAATTTCTTTTTTTATTTTTAGAGAGAGAGAGAAATATTGATTTGTTGTTCCACTTATTTGTGCATTCATTGGTTGATTCTTTTTTGTTTTTAAATATATATATTTTATTGATTTTTTACAGTGAGGAAGGGAGAGGGATAGAGAGCTAGAAACATCAACGAGAGAGAAACATCGTTCAGCCGCCTCCTGCACACCCACTGGGGATGTGCCCACAACCAAGGTACATGCCCCCGACCGGAATCGAACCTGGGACCCTCCAGTCCGCAGGCCGACGCTCTATCCACTGAGCCAAACTGGTCAGGGCCATTGGTTGATTCTTTTTTCAAAATATCTTTGTATTGATTTCAGAGAAGAAGGGTGAGGGAGAGAAAGAGAGAGAAACCTCAATGATGAGAGAGAATCACTGATCGGCTGCCTCCTGCATGCCCTACACTGGGTGTCCAGCCCACAACCCGGACATGTGCTGGGAATGGAACCGTGGCCTCCTGGGTCATAGATCGATGCTCAACCGCTGAGCCACGCTGGCCAGGCATTGGTGGATTCTTGTATGTGACCTGACTGGGGATCTAACCCGCAACCTTGGCATATCAGGATGATGCTCCAACCCACTGAGCTACCTGCCCAGGGCCTGACCTCATTTTAATTTAATCACACCTATAACAATTCTGTCCCCAAATGTGGTCCCAGGCTGAGGTCCTGGGGATCAGGACATAATTCAGCCCGTAACAGCTGGTCCTACCGGCTCCCACCTCCACGCCCAGCCCTCCCCCAACAGTCGGACCGGCTTCACTCCCCTTCCTTTTCCCTCCATTCCCAGCTCCAGCCCCGCCTCCTCGGGTGACTGACCTTAGCCAGTCTTTCCCCAATTATCCCTTTTGGAGAGAGACTCAAGCCAGAAGGAGAGAGGACCCGCAGACCTCAGCCTGGCCCTCGGTCAAGTTCAAATGCAACAACGTTGGTGTACAGATGTGGATGGCAGCTGTCCCTCACATTTCAATGAAATATTTGTGGGGTCCCTTCCTGTCAGCCAAGTCTCTTCTCCAACTTCCTCCGTCCTGCTCTGTGCCTGGGGGGCTGTCTGAGGGACCATGTGCTGTGGGCCGAATGTTTGTGTCCGCCCCACATCCACAGGCTGGAGCCCGAATCCCCAGTGTACTTGGAGGTGGGGCCTTCGGGAGATGATAAGGTTGTGCGGGTAGAGCCTCATCAGTGGGACTGGTGCCCTTATAAGGAAGAGACACGGCCTACGAATCGGGTCACAGTTCAATTCCTGGTCAGGGCACATGCCCAGGTTTCGGGCGCAGTCCCCACCCAGCAGGGGGCGTGTGGGAGGCAGCCGATCAATGATTCTCTCTCATCATTGAGGTTTCTATCTCTTTCTCTCCCTCTCCCTTCCTCTCTGACATCAATATATATATCTTAAAAATGTATATATAAATATATATATCTTAAAATATAGAGAGAAATAAAATAATATATTTTTAAAAGAGAGAGAGACACAAAAGGTAACTTCTCTCTCTGCCGGTCGGTCTGCAAACAAGGAAGTGGGTTCTCAGAGGGAACCGGACCTGCAGGCACCGTGACCTTGGACGCCTCAGCCTTCAGCACTGGGAGGAGGCTGTGGTTGTGGTCGCAGTAGCCCGAACCGACTAGACAGTAACTGTGGGCTCCCTCACCCCCTGGCTTCCTGTTGGCTGTGGGATCGCCAGTTTCAGAGGAGAAAGGAGAGTGAAGCTCAGATCCGTCCTTGCGGACTTAGAGGTG